GACGCTCTTTTGACATCTTTGCCCAAGATGTGCCCTGCAAGGATTGGAAGAGATATGGCCGAGCCCTCGGTCTGCTGGAGAATGACATTGCCCTGGCAGAGATGAATGACAAATATTCACTGGAGCCCTTCTTCCAGATGCTCAACACGTGGCAGAACAGAGAAGGGATGAAAGCCTCTGTGAACACGCTGCTGGAGACCCTGTGTGAGATCAATCTCGGAGGGATTGCAGAGGACATCTCCTCCAAGCTGGTCCAGCAGGGATCTTTCCAGTATGAAGTGAGCTGAGGAGCAGGGCGGGCCCCTGCATCTCTCTACTTCAAGCTGAAGGTATCAATACCTCAAAGAACACTTGAGTTTTATTTTTTTGTAGCTCTCCTGTGGCTCTTCTCTTTTTAAAGCCATTGTACAGATCAACTGAGCCAGGAGAAGTTGATCCTCTCATGAAGTACAAACCTTGTGGTCTTCTCTGCTGGAGCAATGAGCTTGGTGTTGGTGCTTCCTTATGAAATCCAAGCTGGTGCCTTGATTTCACTTTGGGTCAGTGCAAAGAACCTAAAAGCTATTGCGAGCTGCTGTGGGACTGTCTCGCTTGGAAGCACTGGTACTACACGGACGTCTTCAGGATCAGTGCAGAGAAGGGCTTTTGCAGGTTGTAGGCATCCCTGCTTTTTTTTAAACTGGATTATCCTTTTCTTGGGGGGGTTCCTGGCATCATGCAATGGCTTCTGCTTGTAGAACATCTCTAAGCTGGCCAGCAAGCTTCATACTGTATGCTCGATGGGCAAGCATTAACTGGGTTCTTGGGTTACTCTCTCAAAAGTTGTTCATTGAATTACTTTTTAGTTGATAGTGGTTCTGCTTGCTGTTAGTTCTGGTTTGAAACTGGACTTTGAGGGGAGAGTAGGAATGATTGACTTGCTCTGTGATCACTGGGGTTGCCTAAGGAAAGGGTCAGTGCAGAGAGTGAGTGAGCTCCTCCTTGGAGGAGGATGGGGAATGTGGGCAGCAAACTATTGATGTGCCAGAAACCTCCTTCTCCATGACTTTGGTCAAGAGAGTTGGTTCCCATTCCCTTGGCCTTGGGGTGGCTTTGCTGTCCCTGTCTATCTCCAGCCAGCATGGAAAGGTGAATGCACTGAGGTCTGAGCATGATTGTGGGTACCCACCATCCATCCTCCAGTTGGGATGGGTTGCTCCTCAAAACACTTTGCCCCTCACTCAGGTTCTCACACGTAGCTCAGGGACAACTTGACTGGAAAAATTTCCTGCATTACTTGAGCTGGTTCCATGTGCTGCCACCTTGGTACAGCCCACCAGGACCTTCCCCAGCGTGGGGGGGACAGTGTGATGGGCATGGCCAACCCCTCTCCATTACCAGGGCTGCCTTGTGCTGCTGACCACCCATCCCTCCTGCTGCCATCCCATCTCCCCCCTCCTCCTCCTCCTCCTCACCAACAATGAAACACAAGCAGAATGTTTGTATTTATGTATTTATTTAGTAATTGTAAACATGGACATATATTAACTTAAAAGCTAATATAAAAATAGTGTTGTTTTTTTTTACTATGCATGACTACATGGTTTTATACAGAGCTCTGGCCCAGCCAGTTTTCTATTTCCAGTTTTTACATGTCTCTTTATGAAGGAAGAATAAACTTTTTAAAAAAATCCTCCTGATTTCTGATTTCTCATCTTTTTGTTTTGTTTTGTTTTGTTTTTTTCTCCACCCCCCCCTGCTTTGCTCTGCCATAACTTTGGCGATGATGATCTGTTCTAGGTTTCAGTGGGCACCAAAGGAGCTGGACCAGATGCTCAGCAGCTGCTCCGTGTGGCACTGAGGAACACAGCCCATGGTGATAACTGCTCTGCCATGCTGGGAATGATCCCCACCAACCATGGGAAATCCTCAGCACCAAACTTGGGCTCTGCTTTTATACCTACGCCGTGAGTCCCCTGCTTTTTAGTCACCTGCAAAAATAAGGAGGCTGAAATCTCAGTCCCTTGAGCGTGCAGGAGCTGGGACCTCTGGGGCCAAGCGATGCTGTTGACCCCTGTTACGAAGCTGCTGCTCCTGGGGGGGCAGGACACACCGTGGTGGTCCCCACTCTGGCTACACCCAGCCAGGGCTCTGTGTGCTGCAATAGCTGTGTTACAAATCCATGCAGTGTGTGGTGAGAAAAGGGCTCTGCTTGCCCCAAAAAAGCCCCCCCCTGAGCTGCCTGCCCGCCTCCACACTGCCATGGGGTTTATTGATAATTCAGGGAATTTCTCAAGTGCTAAAAGCAGGAGCTCTTGGTGACCTGCCAGGAGACTTCGTGCCCAAGGTCCTGTCCTGGGCAGTCCCCATGTGCCTCCCCAGCTTGCAAACCTGGGCGAGGAGCCAGGCATATGCAGGATTTAGTGCCAGGACACAGGGACTTGAGTCCTGGCCTGGGGAAGGCAAATGGGACTCAGAAGCAGCAGCAAGTGCCTGGATTTGAAAGGGAAGGAAACTCGTCATCCTACCTGTTCGCTGGTGCTGCAAAGTGGGAAAACACCGAGTGTGAGCTCATTGGAGCTGCAACCTTGTTCCTGCATCCATGGCTGAGGATGAGGATGTGAAACCACTGAGTCCAAGGGGCTCTACTGAGGCCAACTGGGAAAAGGAGCAACATGGAGCAGGAGGGAACACCAGTGGGATCATCCCTGCCTAGATCATCCCTACTTGAAGCATCCCCATCCAGAGCATCCCTTCCTTGAATCATCCCTGTCCAGAGCATCCCTGTCTGGAGCATCCCTACCTGGAATCATCCCTGTCCAGATCATCCCTACCTGGAATCATCCCTACCTGGAATCATCCCTGTCCAGATCATCCCTACCTGGAGCATCTCTGCCTGGATCATCCCTACCCAGAGCATCCTGCCTCCTTGCTCCAGCAGCCACCTCTTTGCCAGGGATGGGTTCAAAGGAGCTTCCCTCTTCCCTCTCAGCCTGACACTCCTAAAACCCCCCCCTCAAGATGGGCAGCTCTGCCCCAGCCCTGAACTGTCTTCTCCTGCCACGTACCCACCATGTTTGTGCACCTACAAGGACACAAGTGGGACATGGACAGTTAGTCTGATGGAAAAGCCACCTCTCAGGGTTCATTTGGGATCCTGCAGCTCTTCACTGTCCCTGTCCATCCCTGGAGCACTGACAGGGGGGTGTGGGTGACACCCCAAGCAGGGGACAAAGCTGCCCCGTGTCCAGCTGCGTCCTCCCAAACACACAGGGACCACGCTGGGCTTTTAAAATACCATTTATTACAATGGAGCCTCCCAGGCTAAAATCCCAAGCCAGGGGCCTGGGGTTGGTTTCTGGTGTGGCAGGTTGGGGGGGGTAGGTGGGTTTGTGGGGGGTGTGG